TAAATAACAACACTACCTTTAAAAATAAGAAGCTGTGGTGACTTTATACATAAAGCAAAAGTTAAAAATAGGAAACTAAAAAAGCATATTAAACATAAAATAAATGACCTGAAGAAAACCAAAAATTTTGATTGTAATGAATATAACTTGGTTAAATTCTGTATTAAGAGAAAAAGCCTCACAAGTGATTTTTTGTTTGCTTTTGTTTTTTTACTACTAAATAGTTTATGAATATGAGATAATTCCTTAACCTGATGCAATACACAAAAATAGTCTCTCCCTCTATACCATCTGTTATTAAGATCAAATCATGAGGCACAATCCCTTCCTGTTCATGAAATTGATATTTATGCAAATTATTACCCTGTTTTGCTACCTTCTAGCTTTAAGAGAATGAATTGAGGACCACAACACCTGCTTTATCCTTCCCCCAATCTCCACTTATTTTCTGAAGGTCACCAATGTGTGCTTTATACATTCTCAAAGATATTCTCTCAATTTCTTCTCCTTGTTTCCACCTGGATGTGAAGCTCTCATACACACTAATGATGTGTCAGTTCTCATGGTCTCAGAGTTGCAGTTTGATCTTCACAGAAATTGAAATAAAACTCCTGACTACTCAAGATCACACTTTATCTCCGAAACCCTGAGACAGCACTATATATTCCCTGTATTTCCCAAATCCCTTTGAAAATGTTTCCCTTCACTTTTTAATTATGGTTCTCTTGTTAGGGATTTCAAAACTAGTAAATGGAAGCAAGTTTGAGCATAATCATCTTGTACTCTCCTTCTCCCCACCTAATCCATCACTTCCTCTAGGTACCACACACAAAAATGTCCTCTCTCCCCCAACACTACACTGTATCTGGTTCTTAACTGTATATCAGTTAAAAACAAGAAAGTTAAAGTGATAATGTTCAATACTTTCAGCTACTTGTATGTCATGAGAACTGCCTGAATGATCAGAACACCCAGTCAGTATGACATATGTATATACCTGCTGAGGCCTATAATGGCAATACTAATAGCATTACAAAGTTATATTTCGTCTTATGGTGGCTTGAGCAGGTTGAAATGTCTTACTCTGCATAGTTTTCTTCTTGTCACTGTTTATGGTTCAATATCTACCCTCCAAGGTGCTGTCAAAACTGAGAACTCGGAAGTTTTTGATATTTTGATGGCAAAATGATTGATAGTCCCAGTTTAAAAAAAAAAGTTACAGTTTAATATTATCTGCAGAAGTGGAAGCTTTTACTAGTTGAGTCAATTTTATAGTTTTATATTTTTGTAGAAATAAAAGTCTTTTAACACTCAAAATGGCCACTGGCCCTTTTTTCAATGTCAGTCTAACACATGATAAATAATTTTTTGATTCCTAGTGTCATGGAGGATGATAAGTTATAAAATGTCTGGACATTAGCTAGTATTAAAAGCCTCACATGGGCTATTGCCATTGTATTGACTTGTGTTATAAGCAATTGTGGGAACTAGGCATGTCTGCTTACCTTTTTCTGCGAAGTGATTGGGAGGAAGGCAGGAAATAGGAGCAAGTTTCTCACATTGCAGCATTTCAAGTTCTAATGTAACCTCAAATGTGATACCCAGCTACCCTTCATGCTTCCCCTTTTTCTTCTCTACTAAGATGAGTTAACTCTATTACCACTCCTTATCCAGTTCCATGATTACACAAGCATGAAGAAAAAGACAACACAACACATCTTCTGTTTGCACTTGTTCTTCATTTATATTTTAACAACTAAAAATTGGCCATTGTTTAAGTTTAGTAGCTAAGTGTAAAATTTTTAAATGAACATAAAAAAAATGAAAAAGGTCACACGAGATAATGGAAAAGGTATAGATACATACAGTCCTAGCCAATCCCCTCCTGTTATAATTTTCAAGGTATAAATCCTGGGGTAGTAAAAAGAAAATTCTTATTTTTGCCATTAGATAGGACACAAACCTTTAAGAGAAGTTGAAAACGTCATCACCTCCTCTACCTAACTCCGAAGAGCAGCAGTAAGATTTTTATTAAATCATATTCCTCTGTAAAAATCTGCTTATGTTGAGTATCAGAGCCCAAACATAAAACACGATTCCTAACATTTAGAAATGGGGTTACTTATATGCCATTAGTACTTAATGCACACTGAGTTCTCTGTTCAGAAGTGGAGAGAAATTTGCACTGATCACTCACAGTGTTACATATCATTCTTGCACATGACATTCTCTATAGCATTTAAAAATTTACAAGTATATTAATATGTATGTAAGTTTTTGCATTCTCAGTAGAAGGTATTTTTGCTTTGTTTTATCCAGTTAAGGTAACAGATATGCAGAAGCCCTAAATAATTGGCAAATCACAGATAGCTAGAAAAGGGGAACTAAAATTAAGATTCTCTAATTTCAACTCTAATGTTTTTTTTCTATTTGCAATATTATTTTGTAATTACGGAATAATTTTTAGCCATGAAGATAAAATGGTTAACAAGGTCATATGATTATTAAAACTCATTCATTCCAAGTGGAAAATTACAGAGAAAATCATACTGAGCTTTGAACCTTAATTTTTTCCCCAAAAGCCTACATTCAAAAAAAAAAAAAAAACCAGGAAAACTAAACGAAGACACTTATTGGAAGAAATTTAATAATTATTATTATTAATATATTAGTTAATGCATTGTGAATTATTTATATGTAAAATTATATGATTTAGTAGATTTGTTTTAAACTATGCAAGCCAAAAAAGTGTGTCAGGAAGATAAATAAAATGAAATAGTAGAGGTTTATATAATTATATATGATTGAAGTTCGGCAATGGGTACAAGGGAGATTATTTTATTACTTTAATGGATTCATGTTTGGAAAATTTCCATAATAAAATGCTTTAAAACCAAAAGTGGTGCAAATCTATGCCAATGAACTTGAAGACTTAGGTAAAATGAACAATATTCTAAAACATACCTTATCAAACCTAATTTTTAAGAAATACATATTTTAATAGATGTATAACCATTAGAAAATTAAGTCAATAACTAAAAATCTATACTCATACACAAACACATCTAAAAGTACTGGCCTTAGGTATTTTTCCCAGTGAGGTGTATATATTCACAAAACAGATCATTTTAATTGCATGCAAATACTTTCAAAGAATGATAAAGTGATTGTATTCTCTATCTCACATTATGAAGCTAGTATAGCATTGATACCAAAACCAGAAAGGACAATAAAAGAAAGAAAATTTACATATTCATCTCACATATTATCATGGATGTAAAATTTTTAATAAAATAGAAGCAAATTTTATTTATCAATGCATTAATACAAGTAATGCAAAAGAGTTTACCATCAGAAAAGTCTTCATATGCTTTGCTTTAGTCATCATAAGAGAAAATACAATAATCTTAATTTAAAAGTGAAGAAATAGCATTAAGCATAGATTAAATATGCTTTTGTAATAAAAAATAATAATAAACTCTCAGGACACTGGGAATAGAAGATAATCCCTTAAGTTGATAAATGCTTCTATACAAGCTCATATCAAGCATCATACTCATGGTGAAACATTAAGACAATCTCTTCTGTATAAAAACAAGAACAGTATACCATGATCAACACTTTTACTCAATATGTTTCTAGAAGTCCTAACCAAATGCAGTAATATAAGATAAGTAATTTTATGATGATTGAAAAGGAAAGGTAAAATCATCCCATATCATAGATGACATGATTGCCTAACTAGAAAACTCACACAAATCTACAAATTATGACACTTAGTTTAAAAAGGGCTCTTAGTTTTTCTATGAGAAAGGTTGTGCCATGGTTTGCAAAGCCAAGGATATTTAATAATTGGCCTTTAATAATTTGTTTAACATTTATTCATTTTCGAGAGCAAGAGAGACAGAATGTGTGTGGGGGGGGGCGGTCAGAAAGAGAGGAAGACACAGAGCAAGTTCTAGACTCTAAGCTGTCAGCACAGAGCCTGATGTGGGACTTAAACCCACAAACTGCGAGATCACGAGCTGAGCTGAATTTGGACGCTTAACTGACTGAGCCACCCAGGTGCCTACTAACTGGCTTTTTATAAAAAAAAAAAAAAATTGCCTACCCCTGACTTAGATCTCCAAATAAAATCTATTCACAACCCAAGCAATTAGAAATGTAATTTATAAACACCATTTACAAAAATTAATATACAGAGTAGGACTAATGTATGAAAGAAGTAAGACTTTTGTACAGAAAATTATAAAACTTTTTTGAAAGTTTTTTCAAACTTTAGCATGTAAAAAAATATAAAGAATGTAGACTGGTGCAGCCTCTCTGGAAAACAGTATGGAGGTTGCTCAAAATAGAACTACCCTACAACCTAGCAATGCACTACTAGGTATTTACTCAAAGGATACAAAAATGCTGACTTAATGGGATAAATGAACCCCTGTGTTTAAAGCAGCACTATCAACAAAAGCCAAATTATGGAAAAAGCCCAAATGTCCGTTAACTGATGAATGGATGAAGAAGTGGTATATATGTACAATGGAATAGTACTCAGCCATAAAAAAGAGTGAAATCTTGCAATTTGCAATGATGTGAATGGAGCTAGAGAGTATTAAGCTAAGCAAAAAAAAAAAAAAAAAAAAAAATCAGAGAAATGCAAATATGATATGATTTCATCCATATATGAAATTTTTTTTCCAGGTTTATATTCTTTAATTTTATTGATTTATTTTGAGAGAGTGAGCAAGCAGGGGAGAGGCAGAGAAAGAGGGAGAATCACTTGCAGGCTCTGCACTGCCATCAGAGCCTGATGTGGGGCTCAAACTCACAAACATGAGATCATGACCTGAGCTGAGATTCAGTCAGACACCTAACCAACAGAGTCACCCATGTGCTCCTACTGATTTATAGTCTTCTGCCAATTAAATTGTTTTTCCTTTTTTTAGAAGACAATCTCAAGAGACTGTTTTCAAGTTAGAACCTAAGGGGTTGCTTCTGTTTTTAAAAAAGCTTCTGAGTTGTGTAAAACTAGATCACCCTGCTTGTTAGAACATCAAGATGGCTCCAGCTTTACTTTTCCTAATTTATACATACTTGTGACTTTATTTAAAAATTTTTTTGACCAGCTGATGATATTTGAAAATGGGGTTGTGTCTATAAAAATTGGATACAAACTGGAAAATGTGTCCAGCTTTTCTTTGAATATGGCTTTCCCCTTATGATACTGCTCCCTACTGACTTTTAGAGACACAGATCCTTTCAGCTCATATAACTAGATTATACCAGATAAAATGAGCTTGGAAATGCAATTCTCAGGGCCAATTGCAATGACAACCCCACAACGGAACCACCTATTACTTTCAAACACTCATGGATACAGAGTTTTCCTCTTATGGGAGAATATGCGTGTCTTTTTTCAATGATCATAAGGCTCTAGCAAAAAGGATTTTCATTTTTATCATTTTATATATATATTTTTTCATTTTACGTTTTTCAAAACAAGTAAAACATTAAAATGTTATGCATAATTCATACACACTGAAAAATGTAACCTAAAGTGAAAATGACTTGTTAGGGATTTTCAAACTCTTATCAAGTAATTCCTAGGAAACAAAGATTTCTAGAAATGAAAAAAAAAAATCTGTGAATAAATAACCACTGATGGGAAACAAAAGCTAAACAGGAGAAGAAGAAAAAGGTGATGCCAAAACACAACTTTACAAGGCTTGTAGCCAACATGCTAACACTATCTACAAAGTAGTTTTTATATTTATTCTACTTGACCAGGCTTCTTGAGTCCTTTCTCTGGATAAATATCTTTAACTAGTAAAGTGATTATAAATGAAAACAAAGCCACTAAAGTGACTACTATCTTAAGGACTTTGAACCAGTTGGGATAATGTGGCAAGAGAAAAAGTTCAATGTGTAATGCTATCCCCAAACCTATTATTACTGTGACTATAGCTTCACTGAGTCTTTCAGAAATAAGGAAGGCAAACCATGAAAACAGAAGAGGAGGCGTACTACTAGCCAAACTGAGGAAGTCTGGTTTGGCTGTATTTATCTTCTGGCAGAGCAAAACCCCATTTGATCCCTCCCAAGAAAGATAGGAAACTGGCTCCATAAGCCATCTGAGTAAAAGCTAATAAGGGGATATAAGTCTTTGCCATCACCATGACCAGTGGTGGAGCAACAAAGGGGATTACTCCTGCCAGAATTATGTATAATAGTGGCTTTGGGCTTTCAAGCAGGAAAGTTATGGTGCCTGGTGGCTTGGTTGGAAGGACTTCTTGCTTCTGCTGCTTCTTAAAGCTGCATGGGGAAGTATGATAGTATTGTGTCTTGTTCATATACACTGGAAATGATGAGAAAAACCAAGGCCCTGGCAACAAAGGGGAAAAGTTTTGCTGGAGACATGTGTTGAGAGAAAGTGTTTCTATTCTGCTGGCTCCTAGTCGGAATGTGAAAGGGTACTTCAGCATCTTTGAAGATGCCTGAGAAAACTTCTGGATGAAATGAAGCATGCTGGGTCCAATTGAAAGTCTTGCTCAGGAAGATGCCAGGCAGTTCTGATTAATTCATTTTTACAGCTAAGTGGAGGGGCTGAATCAGAAGTATGCTGTTGCCACCTTGGAATCAGGAGATGTAAATAAAGCTGAGCCGCAAGAATAGCCAGGTATTCAGGAAACCCATTTATGAAATTTAAGAAACAAAACAAATGAACGTGGTGTTGGGGGGGGGAGAGAAAGGCAAACCATAAAACATACTCTTAACTATAGAAAACAAAATAAGGTTTGATGGAGGGGCACAGGATGGGCTAAATGGGTGATGGGCATTAAGGAGGGCACTTGTAGTGATGAGCACTGGATGTTGTACATAAATGATGACTCACTAAACTCTACTCCTGAAACCAATATTACACTGTATGTTAACTAACTGGAATTTAAATAAAAACGAGAGGGGAGGGGGAGACAAAGAGAGAGAGACAGACAACCCCTACGAAGCAGTTAAAAAAAAGTTACATATTTCAGTAGAAAATGGGTAAGAGCACAGGAAATACAAATGGCCTGTGAATATAAAAATATTTGTATATCATTAAGAATTTTAAGATATAAATAATCAATGCCACAGCAATTTTACCACTGGGAATTTGTTCTGTAGAAACTTTTGTTCATTTGCAAAAGACAGGTTTGTACTAGAACGTAAGCTTCGGGAGAATGGGGAACTAATTTCCTTTTGTATCCTTGATGATTAATAAATATTTCTTGAGTGAATGAATGAAATAAAATTGGTTACCAACTAAATGTCAACCAACAGGACAATGGATTTATCTTGGTATAGTCGTAAGTAAAAAATCTATACAAAAGGCAAATAAATGAACTAGGTCCACATGAATCAACATGATGAGTCCTGAAGGTATAATACCGAATAAAAAACAAGTTGCAGAAAGATACATACAGCACAAATATATAATACTAAATCTTAAAATGGCACTATACATTATTTAGAGACGGGAACGTAGTGCAAGTGTAAAGACATTTATGGATCTGGTTTTCTCTGAAGTTTAAGAAGGGGATGAGAGGGGCACCTGGGTAGCTCAGTCGGTTGAGCGTCCGACTTCAGCTCAGGTCATGATCCCCAGTTTGTGGGTTCAAGCCCCCATCAGGCTCTGTGCTGACAGCTCAGAGCCTGGAGCCTGCTTCGGATTCTGTGTCTCCCTCTCTCTCTGCCCCTCCTTGCTCATGAGCTGTCTCTCTGTCAAAAACAAATAAACATTGTTTAAAAAATTAAAAAAGAAAAGAAGGGGAGGAGAGGAGGAGAACATAATTAACTTCCAAGGTTTCTTAATGCTTTATATTTTATTGTAGGTGACAAGAACATGAATATTCACCATATTATTTTATAAACTTTTTTCATAAGTCTAATATAATTGTTAAAAATAGGGATGCCTGGGTGGCTCAGTTGGTTAAGTGTTTGGCTCTGGATTTCAGCTCAGGTTATGATCTCACGGTTCATGAGATCGAGCCCTGCATCGGGCTCTACACTGATAGCACAGAGCTTGCTTGGGAATCTCTCTCTCCCTCTCTCTCTCTCTCTGCCCCTTCCCCGTCTCTCTCTCTGCCCCTTCCCTGTCTCTGTCTCTCTCTCTCTCTCTCTCTTTCTCTCTCTCTCTCTCTCTCTCTCTCTCACACACACACACACACACAATATATATATAAAGAAACTTAAAAATACTTTCAAGTATTTAAAGAATAGCAATGAAGTATTCTGGAAACAAGGAGAAGAACAGGTTATAGGAAAACTGAACTATGTTATTTATTTGGTACAAGATGAAATGCAAAAACAGAAGGCTTTTTTCCCCTTTTTTTGCTATGACCTGTGTCCCTGAGAATAACTGCTAATGGAAATCAACTTTATAAGAATGCAATCTGAGTTTAGGAAATTAAATGGTAGTTTACTCATAAAGGATCATGAATGCTAAGTAAAACGTTTAAATCCATTTCTGAAAACAGTGCATATTTTCTAGCAAGCAGATGATGCACTCAAATGAACATTTCAGAATGATGTGCCTAAAATGCAGTGCCTAAAATATAAAGGGAAAACTATATGGAGACCCTTAAGATAGTTTAAGTGTTATTTTATGAAAATATGAACATATACCAAAAAAATAAGACTTTATAAACAATATTGAGGGAAATAGAAAAGCTAAAGATGAACTGAAGTTTTCACATTGAATTGAACTGTGGATAAAAGATAGCAGAATTATCTGGACAGTAGGCAGCCTGAGAGAAAAGTTCACAATGTCATTCAAAAAAAAAAAAAAATGAATTGGTTATGTAAGTGTTGAGTTTGAATTTCCCTAACTTACAGAGAGCAAGATAGATTCAGGTAGGTATCATGATTCAGGAGTACCACAAGGAACCACTGTACCTACCCCTTTATTTCTCTTTTAGTTGATGGCTGATAATGTTAACTTATTATGTGAGAAGAATCATCCTATAGGCTTTGTATTTGATTCTTCCATTGTCCTCTGAGGTAGGCTGCCTTAAATTACCACAAACTGGGTGGTTTAAACAACAGAAATGTATTGCCTCAGAGTTTTGGAAGCTAGAAGTCTGGGATCAAAACGCCACAGGTTTGGTTCCTTCTGAGGGCTCTGAGGGAAAATCTGTTCCATGCCTCTCTCCCAACTTCTGGTATTTGTTGGCGGTTGTTCGTGTGCCTTGGCTTGCAGATGTCAGCCTTCATATTTAGTGTTCTTACTGCATGCATGTCTGTGTCCAAATTTCCCCTTCTCATAAAGATGCCAATCATTGCATTAGGGTTCCACCCTATTCTAGTATGACATCATTTAACTAATTACATCTATATATGACTCTATATCCAAATAGGGTAATATTTTGAAGTACTAGAGGTTAGAACTTAAACATATGAGTATTTGAGGGACAAAATTCAAGCTATAAAATGTAGGCATTATTTTCAACCCTAATTTTTACAGGTGAGTAAACTGAGGAGGAGAAGGGTTAAGTCAATTTCAAAGGCCACCCAGGTAGAAAGTGAGGCAGTTAAAATGTGCATTTAAGCAGCCTGGCTTCATATGCCACTCTCTAATTTAGAGGTTAGAGTTATTTTGAAAATAGCTTTTGACAGCAACGTGTCTTACTTGGTGTATACAAAACACAGTAAGAATGTTTAACTTCAGGGAGAGTGATAAATGTGGCTTTAAGAAGTGTAAGTAAAGCATGTGAACAGTAGGTACGAAGGGTAAGGATGAAAAGATGGATACAAATGCAGAAATATGACTCTCTGGAAGATTAACTTTGCCAATAGTCATTTACCCCAGGCCTTCCCTGAATCTGCTAGTTTCTTCATAAATCATTAAAGTCAACGGGAAGATTGCAGATAAGGATGTGAGAAGCAGCACAAGTCTTGAGAAAATTAGAGATATTTGAAGTGGTCTTTGTCTAACTCAGTTTGCTTTAACTATAATATCTTAAACTTACAGACCAAAATGTAGGTATTTCTAAAGGTCTACCCCTATTTCAGGCTCCCATTGTTACTTATTCCAGATGTTTCCAAATGTTTGTGTTCTAGATAATGCTGTGAGAAGCATCCTTGCTACTCTATCATATTTTCCTTTCCACATTATTTTCTTAAAATAAACTCCTAGACATGCAATTGTTTAAATTGTACATAACCTCCTAGACTCTTGAATAAGTTTCCCAAATGTCCTCAATATTCCTAGGACAATGGAATATATTATATATATACATATATATATATACATATATATGTATATATAATATAAAACACTCTGCCCTCTGTCCCAATACCATTTTTAAAAAAATTTTTTTCCATGTTGATTCATTTTTGAGAGAGAGAGAGAGAGAGCATGAGCAGGGGAGAGGGAGAGAGAGGGAGACACAGAATCTGAAGCAGGCTCCAGGCTCTGAGCTGTCAGCACAGAGCCCATCGCAGGCCCGAACTCACAAGCCCCAGATGGTACTCACAAACCATGAGATCATGACCTGAACTGATGTCAGACACTTAACCAACTGAGCCGCCCAGGGGCCCCTATCCCAATACCCATTAGCATCCCTATGTCTGTCATCAAAGTCATTTTCCCATCATGTGGGTTTACTTATGGCTCCCTGAACTGCCATGTGCTTTCATATATCCCTTCACTATATGATAAAATCATAGTTTTCTTTCTGAGTCCAATTCACTGTTACTGTTTTTGGAGGAAACTTTCTAATTTTCACGGCAATATTAACCTATCCTTCCTCCGTGCTTCCTTTGCAGTTGCCTGGGATCATGACCACAGTTATCACATGGTACTGGTCAGCTGTCTTTCTGCCAGATAAGTTGCTAGCTCCTTATAAACAGGGACCTTGTCTTTTCCTCTTTATAGCTTCAGCAAGGACTAGTGTGAGTAATGTATGATCAGATTTTGGTAAATGTTTTTGAGCGAGTGAAAGAATATATTCTAGTTTCCCAAGATGGACCTAAATTCTCTGCCCCAGTTGTTGTTATCCCCTTAGGCAGTAAACCATTCTGAGAACTGCTGACTCTGGTAAATCTCAATTCAAATTATTTGAGATAAAATTCAAAAAGTTGAATAGATTTATAGAAAGAACCATGTTGGGGATTAAATACGGATTTAATTCACATTTTATTAGTGGCTGTATAAATGGTTTCATTACCATTTTAATCATGTTTACTCTTAGAGCAATGTCAAAAATAGACGAATTGCATGTATACTGAAAGGAAAACAACAGATTTCAAAATTGTTTTTCATGAAAGGATAAGAATTAAAAAGCACTCCTGAGATCAAACTACTATAGAATATTAAACATATTGTATGGCAGTCTCTTTCTTTAAAAGACATGTATATTTAAACACACATTTTAGAAGTCTGCAACTGACTCAGATTGTTCAAAAGCCAATGTGAGCAGCTTTTTCATCTGCTAGTATTTGTATTCACCACAGGTCAGGAAATTTTTACACATTAACTTCAAAAGTAACTTTGTTGCTTTCTGTGGACTGTCTGTTTTAACTTCCTTCACAGCCTGATCACGCAGACTTTCATCGATGTTTGGTACCCATTGCTTCTGAATGCAACCCCATGAACACTTACATATCCTTTATATCACCTTCACTGGGAACTTTATTCCCTGCTTG